ATATATATATATATATATATATATATATATATATATTTATAAATATGAAATATATTATATGATCTAGGTAAATATAAGAGAATGAAGCATAAGATATATGACATATTATAAGTTATTATCTACATATATGAAATATATTATTAAGCAATGGAACTATTAATATGAAATGGCTTGGAAATTTAATATAAGTTATGTGAAAATGATCTATATGTTTATATGTGATATGTGATATTTATGTAATCATGAGTTATATGAAAATAAATGATGTGAATGATATGATAAGAAGCCATGTGATAAGAAGATATGAGTTTATGTGATGTATGGGAAACATATGTGAACAAAAGATGACAATGATATATATGTTATATGAACACAAGAAAAATGTTATAAGTTAAGTGATATATGATTATTAAATCATATGAAAAGTTAAATGTACATGTGAATGTGTGAAATGATATGGAAGAGAATGCCCATGTAAGTGTCAGGAGAGCTAGAGGTATAGTTGGCATGCCAAGAGTCGAGGGTTTCATAGGTCCTTCGGGACATACTCATAGGTCCTTCGGGACATACTCATAGGTCCTTCGAGACATACTCATAGGTCCTTCGGGACATACTCACAGGTCCTTCGGGACATATTTCACATGCCACTCAGTGGGACTTATACGAGCTGTGGTGACAACATATGTGCACAACCTCAATGTACTCGCATATCTTTATTTCTCACATATGTACATGGGCTAATCAAGAGATAATAACAAAGATATGTTTGTGATATTATAAATGTTATAGAAAGGATATGATGATTTATGTGTATGTATGTATATCTTACTAGGTAATCTAATATGATTTATATGATGAGGTCTGTATTACTTGGTTAATTGAGTTTATATGTTGATTAAAAGAATAGATTTAAGAGGATATGATTATAAGATATAAATGATATGAATATTGATAGTGAAATAAGGTTAGAGATGGAAATAGTGTGTGATGTGTATATGTGTATATTACGTTGTATATAATGTTATATTTTTTTGGTGTGGCATCATGAGATGATATGATCATGCATGTGTAAATAGTTAGAGTTCTTTTATAAGTTTAATGCCTCACTAAGTCATAGACTTAGCGTGTGAGTGTTTCACACGTAGGTTCCGGAAAACAAGAAGAGAAACTTAGGGGAGCAAGACAGGTCATATTCTCCTTTCCACACTTCATATCAGAAATGTGTTTAAATTTTATGTATTTTGTCATATGAAATGTAGTTGGCATGTAAGATAAAATATTTGTATTGGATACGCTCTGATCAATGTTGTAAAACCATATGTTTTATACAATATAAATTATTTGGGTTTTATTGGAAATGTCGAACGGAATTTTTATTTATTTATTTATTTATTTTTATTTATTTATTTTTATTTTGTCAAAGTAATCGTTTTGAACAGTCAATGTGACATCTCGGACTCGTATCCGGGTTGGGTACGGGTTAGGGGTGTTACAAGCAACAACCAAATCCATCGAAGACGAATCTTCCCAAACAGAAATTGGGTTAAAACAAGGTTCAAACGCAGAAACATATACTGTAAAAATCCTTTCCCCAACTTTCAAATCAAAAGATTCTTCCACTCGAGTTTGGCAGTTCGTAATAATCTGAATTAGAGCCCTATCAAACGAGCCGGGATTTAAGGTACCTTCCTCAATGGAGATAAGTTCCCCCCCATTTCTTTGCAATGTTTCTGAATTTGGAATTACTCTACACAAACGATGGGATCCCCTTGCACAATAGCCAAGCTCGACGGCTGCTACACTGAAAATTCTCCGACCACACTTCCACTTTGTCAAAGCAATTTTTCAACGCTCCAGACTGGTTATATAGAGTATAATCCCTACTCTCTTCATCTTCAAAAATGATTAAAATTGCTAACCCTCTTAACCTCATAATTTTCAGACCTAATATTCATTCCTTGTGCATAATAGCGGCTAACTCTTTCATTTTCAAATAATTTTATTTATCAACTATTGTAATCAGATCACTATAATTTTATTTATCAACTATTGTAATCAGATCACTATATATATATCAATTGAAAGAGTTGGATTACTCAAATGTAACTAAAAAGTTAGCATTAAGTACACACTTAATGACAATAAGAATAATTTTACTTCTAAGGCAATGGTTCACCCATGATACGATCAAACTTAATTTTATTTTTAATTATATTCTTTTTCAGTTGGTACTAACATTTCATTTTTGAAGTAATACTATAATATTTCTAAAATTAAATACATAGCCATTAAAATCTATGCTATTGCTCATTCAACATATAAGTGTAATGAAGATAATTTCTTCTATCAAAGAACTTGCCATCAAAATTGTTCACATATCATGTTCTTGAACTGGGGTTGTTCCTAGACGATATATGATTATATTTGAAATTTATTATTTAATTTATTTATTTTCACTTTGATTCTATATATTTTGGTAGAGAAAATAAACACACGTGATTTTATTTTATTTTTAAAAATATACTATAAAACATGAAAGAAAATATTTAATTAAATAAATTTTTATTGTCATTATTCGCGTAAATTTGTTCTTCTACTTAAACATATGGAATATAAAACCATTATTGAGGATTGTGTTATATTTTAAAAATTAAAAATAAAATGAACTCAAGGCATGTCCACAGCCATATCCATAGGTATATTATAATCGCAAAATACATGTGTGTGTCTGTGTGTAAGATCCAATTTCGAAGTTTAGTAGTACTCTATATTTATAAATTATAACACATGGTAAATGATCTTTTTCCTGAACGTGTATATAAGATATACATTTATATGAATGCCAATAGAGTAATATGAGGTTTTCAAGGGGATGCTACCGTCACCCCACCTTATTTAGGGTGACGTTGGTGAATTTTAATTTATCGTAGATTGAACAAATCAACCGTGGAAATGAATATGACTGATTAATTATTGTTTAATTGACTTGTAGAATAAGAAACGAAAAATTTAGCCGCCACCCCACGTGTTGTGTGTATGTTTTCGAGCCAAGCCAGGTAACCTTGTAAGTTGTACATACTTAGTAGTAGCATATTTTTATTTATTTTCTCCAACCTATGAGATCGTTTGATAAATTTTAATTTAATTTTTCATATTTTTAAAATACATCATTTTTATATTTTTAGATGTGTTATAAATATATATATATATATATAAAGGTTGAATAAGATGGTTTGGAATATTGTTTAGTTGTAACTTGGTAGGCAGCAACTTCCTAGAAAATGAGCCCAATGTTTAGGGCAACTTGGTATATGTTTGACTCATTACTTTAATCTAAAGTTTAAGTAATTAGCTCTACCCCCTTGTGTTATTATATTCCTTCACAATTTGTTCTTATCTGTATGAGGTAAGTGATACATAAGGAGGTGGGGTTAATAAAACAGCAACATGAAATCCCCAAGATTTAGGTCCACTTGATGCCCAAATGCAGACCTAATTAATGCTCAACCCTTTTCTTCAGAGTTAGCGTATTTTATCACTGGAATAATTATATCAATGGAAAAATAGATGTTTACCTATATATGTGCGTTTGATGCACACCAATTAGGAATTTCTAGCAAGTTAACTTTTTTAGAGATATTAATTACTATTTTTATTTGTGCTTTTAGCCATATGAAATTAATATGCAGAGAATAGCATGTAGATCCAGCTGGGCTAAGAGAACAACATGTATTAACAGTACATATTGTTTCGCTTAAGAATTTTCCCCTACCTTATTAATAATATTGTCTTTTATAAATCTATATTCTTGAAAATATGTGTAAGTTAAATGAACAAGCAAACTAAAAATAACTCTTATAGGATTAAATGCTTGTAAGTTTAAGCTCATATTTAATAGAAACATTTGAAAAAATAAATAAAATACAATGAAAGATTATAAGTTTTTACAAGGACAATGACAATGAATTACTATAATAATTAAGGATTAATAAGAATTCAAAAGTCACATGTACCCCAAAATACAACATTGTTACTGTATATAAGCACAAATACATAATTTTATGTTAGGAGATGAATTTGTAAAAATTTAGAGGAGGTTAACTTATAAAATATCCCAAGGAACAAAAAAGAAAAGATATCAATAGAAAATATAAATAAAAATATTTGAAATATATGATAATGTAAAACTTTAAGAGAAATGATTTTCTCGTTGGCTCTCCTCGATCCATCATGAATATATAAACACACAGGATAGAAGAAAATGAGACGGCGTTGCTTGTAACAATAGCTAGGTAGGTAGCGCAGCATACGCATCAATGAAGCAGAGACGTGGGGCTTTACCTCACTCTTTACTATAATGACGGGAAAATGACAGTGCAGACAAATGCACAAGGTTATATCATAGAGGATGGATCTTTTGGAAAAACCCTTGTCTCTACCCTCTATATTCAGAAAATAAGTATATAGAGATAAAAGAAGAATCCTTGAGACGGTAGATGCTATAACTTAACTACACCTACTGAGTTTGGACCATATTATAAGTCGATGCAGAGGGATGGGGAAATGCGAATGCAACGAAACCGAAAAGGTGGAACAGCCTCTGCAATTGTATTTATATTTGTTTTCTATAGTTTTCTTATGGACTGCTGCTTAATTGTATATTTCCTACGGAACAAGGGTTTTAAAGCATTTGGTGGGAGAGACACACATGATGGTCCATATGCTGTGTTTATAGAGGGAGGTTATATAGGGTAGGACCACCACACCTTCCAAACTCAACTGTACCATTGAGCCCTCCATACCGTCTATTTGGCGGCCGCTATGTGTCTCCATTGTCGGCTTCTCTGTCTGGAGGTGACATGTAAGAAGATGTCTAGCTGGCGATTTCACCTGATCTGATGATGATTGGATAAACGGGATTGTATTGGATCATGTTGATCATTCAAGAAGTTTTCTTTCCTCGATTTTTTAAAAGGAGAGATGACGACTTGATAAGACCCGGAGAGAGAGAGAGGTGCATGCATTAGTATGGGTGAAAATGAGATGAGGCAGATCGCGAGTTATTCGAAATTAATTCGGTTAAAGTTTAATCAATACTAGAATCGAATGAACTCGACTTGAGCTCGAAGTTAACTCGAATTCTTAATGAGCTAATTAATACTCGATTCGAAAAATTCACGAGTTACTAAAAAAATATTATATTATAATTTTAGATTTTTTAAAATTACATTATTAAAAATATATTAAAAATATATTATTGATAATTATAAAATTTTAAAAATATATTAAAAATTCTCTAATACAACTACCCTCAAATTTTAATTTTTTTAAAATTAACTAACCCAAGTCCAATTGTTACATTGTATATTACTAATAGAAAAATAAAAGTCCATTTAATTAAACACATATTAGATTACACGTGTTAGGTTAATTTTTTCTTTCTTTTTTAACTTTTTACTGCATAAGTACTTGAAAACATAGAAAATAAAATAAGAAAAAATAAGAAAAAACAATCAACATTGAAAAAATTAAAAATTATTAAAAATTATTTTTGAATAAATATTTTTATATATATTTTTAAATTAATAAAAAAATTATTTATCTAATGACAAATATTTAATATATTTCTAATAATAATATTTGTGATAACTATAAATATAATTATGATAAAAAAATCTATAGTATTTGAACAAAATATTCTTATTATGCCATAAAAAATAAAAGATAAAATATCATCATTGTTAGGGATGATAATACGGTGAGATGGATCTTTGATTATATTTGCTTAATTTGTAATTTAAGCATGAATCAAGGGACTTTAGTATTAAAAAAATTGTTATTATATTTTGAGGTTTCGGGTTCAAATATCATAAATATTAAGGGTTCAAGCATTTAATATCAAATGCTTAAGAGTTATTTTTGAATAGATATTATATTGTACTTATCTCATTACTAATTTTTTATATGAAAATAAATATAATATAATATAATAAAAATATGATTCAATTTAAATATTAATAATTTAAAAAAAAATCAAAATAAAGTGTAACAGATTTTATAAAGAATTAAGAAAGAAAAAAACTCATTTAGACTTACATTAATATCTTAATTGAAAAAATTAATGACATCAAATCATATTTGAGAGAAAATAAACATCCCTACTACTAACTTGTACAATATAAAGTAAAACAAGACAAATATATATACATTACCAAATTTTACTCTGAAAAGAAAAAGAAAGTAATAATTGCAGAGTTAAAAAATTCAGGCAATAAATAAAGAGAAAACTGAGAAGAGAAGAAGAATAGAAAGTAAAAAGACTTAAGCTTCTTATTAGATTTTTGTTCTTCAGAAATCAAAAGAAAAATAAGTCTACTCTCTCTCTCATTTCACTAAGACATCTCATTCATTTTAATTTACAGTTTAAAAGAGAATCAAATCTTGATTCTTTCACTCTTGAAATTTCATGACCCATCTCAAATGAAAAACCTCATCTCTTTTTCTTCTCCAAATTGATTCCTTTCTCAAAGGTAAGCAACTTTCTTCAAAACCCCATTTTTTATTTTTTAATTTCTTGAGATTCTAAGATTTGGATTTTTTAAGGGACTAAATTCTTATTGTTTTCTCATTGGGTTTTGGTCAAGTCCGTGCCTCTCTTTTTGGTGTTAGCTTTTGATAGTTGTGGCTTGTAAACCTTTTTAGCTGCTATTTTCCATGTTGTTGTTTGAATTAGAATTCCTTGGGGTTTGATAGTTGTAGCTTGTAAACCATTTTAGCTGCTATTTTCCATGTTGTTGTTTGAATTGGAATTCCTTGGTTAGTTCTTCATTTATTTCCCTAGTACTGAATGTTAAAACCTGCATTTATTGCTTTACACTCTGGAATGGGGACTTTTGAGCATATTGGGCTATTTTTTGGGTTTGATGGAGAAGTTGCTACATTATATTTATTACAGTTTATTAGTAACTTCGTATTTTAGCTTAATTCACAATTATACGAACATTTAATTTTAAATCTCCAGTGCACCATAGTTTAATATTAACATTTCCCTTTCATACATTTTTTAATCAAATTGGATCTAATCAAAGTGATTTTGCAAGGATGTCTTGTTATTAGAGCTTTATGATTCAAAGTTTCAAATAGCAACAAGTTGGTTTGTATAATGAGGATCGATTAAAAAATTATTTATTATTTGTTTATTATTTATTATGAGTTTGTTTATCTTTAAATAAATATTCTTTTAAATTTTTATTTATATTATCATTTTTATTTTCAGATATATCTAGTTAACCACAAATTTCTTCAACACCTATTGGTGTTTCAAGAGTTGAAGAGTTTTTTGTGAATGTTGATGATGAACATAACAGAGATAATGTTCTTAATGAAGAAGAAGAGTGCAATATAGAAGCTTCTGAACCTACTGTTGACACCACAACAAAAGAAGTTGACGTTGAAAATCCTTTCCAAGCCTTTAAGAGACCAAGAAGATCAAAGGTGTGGGATGATTTCTTAGAACCTGAATTCATAAACGAATAAAGTAAATTAAGGTGTAAGTATTGCAAACATCCTCTTTCTGCCTTGAAATCTAATAGCATTTCTCATATGAAACGACATTTTAATACTTGCATGAAGAAGTCAATATTCTTTAAGCAACAACAGTTAATTAATTTATTGCCATCTAATTCAAGCATCGATACGAATAAATCTGGATTTGTTAGTGCTTTACATGATGGTAAAATTGACATGTTGAAGATGAGAGAGGCTATGGCTCATTGGATCACAATGCATGAGCATCCTTTTAGTATTGTGGAGGAGGAAGAATTAATTTGATGATGAAACGAGGAATGCCACAATGGAATAGTGTTTCTCGAGTTACTATAAGAAGTGACTCATTCAAAGTTTATGAGGTTGAGAAGAAAAAGTTAAAAGCTTTGTTGAAAAAAGTGGATCAAATTGGCTTGACTACGGATTTGTGGAAATCTAAGCCACAAAAAATTGAATACATGGTACTTACGGCTTATTTTGTGGATCTTGATTGGAAGCTTCAAAAGCGGGTACTCAACTTTGTTCATTTGTCGCCTCCAAGAAAAGGTGTTAATATTGCTGATTGCATTTTAACATGTTTAAAGGAGTGGGAAATTGAAGACAAAGTAAGTGTGTTTATATTATTTTATTTTAATATACTTATTAATTAGTAGTATTTGTCTTTTTGTTATGATTATTCAATACTAAAAGATTTTTATTTGTTTCTTTTTATAGGTTTTCACAATTAAAGTGGATAATGTATCAGAAAGTGATTATTGTATCAAGATATTGAAGGACAATTTTGCAACAAATGGAAGACTTCTTTGCTGTGGAAAAATATTTCACTTTCGTTTTTGTGTGCATATTCTTAACATAATGGTACAACATGGTCTCCAACAAGTGCAATGCATCATTGAAAAAGTTCATGACACAGTTGACTTCTTGAATGCAAGTTATGTGCGACTCAAACGATTTGGTGAACTTATTAGTCAATACAATTTGCAAGATCGAAAATTGATTCTTGAATGCAAGACAAGTTGGAATTCTACATATGACATGTTGGATTGTGTTATCAAGTTCAGAAAGGTATTCCCTAGATATGCTTTGCATGATCATTCTTATAAGCATTGTCTTGATGATGATGAGTGGGAAAAATTGAAAAACTACTTGAAATTTTGAAAGTGTTTAAAGCCGCTACTAACATTATATCAGGCTTTGAATATCCAACTTCTAACATGTTTCTTGGAGAGGTGCAAAGAATTAAAGTGTTGTTGGATTCAAAATTTGAGTATGCTGATGATTTTGTTAAGAATATGGTTGATAACATGAAAGAGATGCTTCAAAAATATTGGGGTGAATGCAATTTGTTAATGGCAATATGTTTAGTATTGGATCCTAGATTGAAAATGAGGGCGGTAGAAATTGCATTTCCCAAAATGTTTCCATCACATTTAGTTAGGGAGAACATTAGTAAGGTCAAAGACATCATGTATCAAATTTTTGATGAATATTTGACGATGTATTCTTCATCTTGTAATGTGGAAGAAAGTGAAGAACATGCATTTTCTATGGATTTTCATGAAGGTGATGTTACATCTAGTGGTTTGTATGAGCTTTTACAAGACGTTTTAGTGGGGAAACATCTGTACCGCATATGAAGTCTGAACTTGATTCATATTTGGATGAGGGGTGCATCTTTAGTTAAGATGCGAAATTTAATGTCATTACTTAGTGGAAGGAGAAGTCAAACAAATTTCGCATTTTATCTAGGATGATAGTAAATGTATTGGTTGTTCCTATTACTACTGTGGCTTCTGAGGCCACATTTAGTGCTGGAAGTCGTCTAATAGATCCTTATAGGTCTTCCCTTACTCTAGAAATAGTTCAAATGTTGATGTGTGCAGGTGATTGGTGTAGATCCCTTCATGGAGTAAAAAGAAAGAATAAGGTGGCGTTTGGTTCGTTGGAATCCCTTGGAATCAGGGGGAATTGGAATCCAATTCCACCACTTTCCCATGTTTGGTTCAAGTTTTCAAAGGGGGAATTGAAATCTAATTCCATCAAATGAGGGAAAGTAAATTACATCCATAACATGATGAAATTAAAATCCTTTGGAGGAGTGAATGTAAAATTTGACCATACTACCCTCATCAATCTTTTGGTATTCGGGTCGGATTTTTTTTTTAAAAATTCAGGTTCGGGTCGGATTTTTTTAAAAAAATTCAGGTTCGGGTCGGGTCGGGTTTTTTAAAGATTGATATTCGGGTCGGGTTTTTGTAAGTGTGATATTCGGGTCAGGTCGGGTTTTTTTTTCAAAAAATTTCGGGATCGAGTCAGTTTTTTTAAAAAATTTTGGGTTCGAGTAAGGTCAGGTCGGGTTTTTTTAAGTTTGATATTCGGGTCGGGTCGGATTTTTTTAAGTGTGATATTCGGGTCGGGTTTGGGTTTAGGGTGAAAAATACCTAACCTGACCCAAAAAATATATAAGTTTACCTTATATATTTAGAAATAATTACAATAATACCCCTCTATATATAATTTTTTTCAATTAAGTCATTGTTTTTATTGAATAAAAATAATTTTTATTATTATTTCGGTTCAGGTCGGGTTTCTAATTCATATATTCGGGTCGGGACTCGGGTGGAGGTTCCCTTGTTCTCAGGTCGGGTCGAGTGGACCAAAAACCCGACCCAACCCGACCCATGGCCATCCATAATTGAGATGATTTTAACTTATGATATTTATTAGTATGATTTTTATAATTTATTGAAATGAATAATCAATCAATAAAATAAAAATTTAATATTTTTTAAATTTTATAATATATTGCTACATGTAAGTTATAAAACAAATTAAAATTAAGCAAAAAAAAAATAAGAAGGACAATTCTATCATTTTACATTACTAAAATCAAATTCATCTGACATGTCAACCAAACAGGTTTCAGATTGAGATTCCAATTCCTACAAATTTCAATTCCTACAGATTTCAATTCCTTCATAGATTCCAATTCCCTCATAAATATTTCAGTGAACCAAACGCCACCTAAGGTAAATGTATTTTCTTATAACAAAGTTTGTTTACTTTTTTAAATATATGTAGACTTATTTGAGTTTTTAAATTATTGCAGAATGATGACAAAACACCGAAAAAAATTATTATATCAGTACCTTCGAAAGAATCGATAATGTGACAAATTAAAAGGTTTAATATTTGAATTTGTTAATCTTATATTTTTTTAACTCCATATTTATAATGATTTCATGCTTTTTTATAGAATAATTTATTATTATTTATTGTCTTTTACTCTTTTTAATAGGTGCTATATATGGAAGCTTGGGCATATTGTTGTTGTTTTTTTTTTGTAAATTTGGACATGCACCTCACATCTTTTGTAAACTTGGACATATTGCAATCTTTTGTAAGTAAATTTGACGTGTTGCTGCCATATTTTGTAAGTAAGATTAACTTGTTGATATCATTTTTTGTATCATTTTTTTGTAAGTAAACTTAACATGCAACTATCATGATATTGTTATGTTTTGTAAGGAAAATATTGTCATCTTGTATAAATTTGGATATGTTGTCATATTTGTCATCTTTTTATAAATTTAGATGTGTTGTCATATTCTGTAAACTTTCAATACATTTGAAGTTTTAAAAACATCAAAGCTTATATTAATTATCCTAAATTTCTTGTAATTGTATTTTTTATTTTTTAGATTTTTATAGTTCATACATTCGTATTATAATGTATTGGTGATGGTTGATTAAAGGGAAAATTATTTATATATTTTTAAATGTAATATAAGATTTTTGTAAGTTCAAATTCGAGTTTGAGTTCGAGCTTGAATCGAGCTCAAAATCGAGCTCAACTCTCGAGTTTCAATCGAGCTCATGATTTTTTTTGAGTTCGATCCTTTTCGAGTTCTAGTCAAGTTTCAATATTATATTTCGAGTTCGAGTTGAGCTTGAGCTTGATAATTTTTAGCTCGCGAGTTTTCGAGTCAAGTCGAACCTAATTTTAAACTTTTCGAGTTCGAGTCGAGCTCAACAATCTCGAGCTCGACTCGACTCATTTATAGCCCTAGCAGCATGAGTTTCTTCTATCTCTCACTTGAGTGAGTAATCATGACAGAGTAAAAATCTATTAGCCCATTTTACTTGGTAAAATGGGTTTTTTTTTGGCCCAATATGGCCATTAGAATAATAATTTAGGGATTTACCCATCACCCAATATTATTTATGGATTTACGATATTTGCTATAGTGTCTAGCAAACTCGTAACCTCGAGTGAAGAGTTTCACAAAATATAATTTTTTAATAAACACATATGAGTGGGTGCCACGTGGGTCAATAATTTATTATTTTTATTGGAACTCGTCATATCGAGATGACGAGTCTATTTAAAAAATATTTTTTGATTTATTGAAAAACAATTTTAAAAATAGAAATTTAAAAAAAAAGAGTTCATTCGAATTCAAAGTACTAGTTGTTGTTCAAAGGGCAATTGTGCAACGGTCACTTGACAACAGACACTTGGAACTCGTCACCTCGAGGTGAGGAGTTCTCCCAAGTTAAATTTTAAAAATAAATTAATAAAATGATAATAATAATTTTTATTGAAAGAACATTGTTACAAACTAATAAAATTTATTTATATTTTCTAAGTTCTTGACGGTGTCGAGGAGTGATCAAATGATAATGACGCGGGGTTCGCCGAGTACGACGGGATCGTTGACCTTGATCATCGTCGTCGTTGTCATCGTCTTCATCTTGTCGAGAAGGTGTATTTAACACACTCTGAGATCCGCCTTCGAAATACAGTGATGCGCTTATAGTATTTGACGCCATCATTGTCGTTACTGAATCGACTTGGTGGCTATGTTGTTGACCATATACGATATGATCTCATTCACCCTCAACTTCATATTTTGTCGAAGATGTTTGAGTGTGTTGCATTGCATCCCATGAACGTCCAACCCAAGTCGGCCGAGTCTCGGTTAAAGTATGATATACAAGATAGAAACTGAAACTCACCTGAGATGCATTATAGTACTCTTCAGCTACAGATACTGAAGCAGAAGAAGAAGACGTCGATGATTTCTTCTTGGACTTAGAGAATTTGGTCTGATGTTGTTCCCATTCTCCTTTATCTTGTAATGTTGTGAGATATGTTTTCCCATTTGCTTCGTAATTTCATAGATAGGGAGAATGGTCAAAATCTAGGTCCAACGATGTCATATCGTACAGTGGGGGGAGCGATAGGTATAGATGATTCCATTGCTCGATGTAGTCAACGTGTTTCATCGGCCAATTTTCGGTATGTTTTCCACACGTATCAATTCTATAGATCGCGTCCATCTCAACGATTTGCGTAGGAATTGGCTTATGTGACGCATACTATCGTAGAACTCTATCAACCGCGTGTTATTCAACAATCACAAAATGTAATAATGGCGTCGCGACACACAATAAATTGGCTCCCTCAAAAAATTGCGGTGGCAATAATCGGTAGATCTCGTCGTCAACATAGAAAACCAATAAAAATGTAAATTTAATATGTATATAAAGTTTAAAAATGGACCCAAAAAATAATAAAAGAACAAGTTTATACCGCATATCGATCGGTGATGTCGATCCTTACCCGTATATCTTTTGCGGTGGCACCCTATAACTTCGTCTAAGTTATTTTATGGCGCCATCTAAAACTATAAAAATATTAAAAACAGATAAAAAATTATTTCAAAATTAAAAACAATTTAAAAAAATTACATTCCAGTAAGAGAAAACTCGATCGGGGCTGTTGTAATCAGCATAAAAATAGGAACCGATACCACTCCCACGATTATAACAATATTAGATAGCCTAATACACCAGCTTTTCGACCTCACTCAACAATTGCAGCCTTGCAAAGCTCTCGATACAGAAAGGCTAAAATCGTCAAACCCTAACTGGTATTGCGACACTTAGCGAAGTTATTTAATATTCGAAGATATTGAGTATGCGCCAAACGAACAGACTTTTCTAGTAATAATATCCCTCCAACCAGTTGGAGAATATATGTTTGGGACGTAAAAATAACCTCGTCCTTGGTAAAGTCATTGTTCACTTGGAATTCGGACTCCAAGAACATTATACGTACCCAATAGTCATCGGTGCACTCGGATGGTGGCACCTTTCCCAAAACTTAGTAGAGCAACGTCTTGGGCTCGTAATTGTTCCGCCTCACCATGGGGGCTCTATTCATGGGAACACCGAGTTGGTAAGTGACATCTTCCAAAGTAATCGTCGCTTCACCACTTGGGGAATGGAAGGTGTATGTCTCGGGCCACCAACGTTTGATCAAAGCCTAAATCAACACTGGGTACACCTTGAAGCCACATAAAAATATGGAAGGAAAAAGATCGGATGGCTGAAGATATATCAACATCCCCTTATGTGAATATCTCGTAGTCATCCTGTGCTGACTAATACTCCGTTTTTCTTCTAACCGGAGGCCGATCCGCGAAATATGGATGTTGTCGAGGCGTAACATTTCTACTTGGGAAGCCATTTTTTTGGGATTTTTACAGAAGTCAAAATTTTTCAAAATATTTTTTGATTTAAGGTTTGATGAAAAATCAAAATCCAAAACCTCTATTTATAGCCCCAATTCCAATGACTATAATTAAAATATCTTACAGAACTCGTCACCTCAAGGTGGCGAGTTCCAAGTAACCGTTGCACAACTGCCCGTTGACCAACGACTAGTTTTTTAATATGAAGGAGGTGACGAGTTCCACTGTTTTTCTTTTTTATTTCTATTTTTAAAAAATTTTAATAAATAAAAAAAATTTAATGGACTCTTCATCTCGACTTGACGAGTCCTAGTAAAAATAATAAATTATCGACTCACATGGGGTCCACTCATCTGAGTCCATTAAAAAATAATATTCCATGGAATTCGTTACCTCTTGACATTGACATTGTAACAAATACCATAGATCCCTAAATAATATTGGATGATAGGTAAATCCCTAAATTAGTATTCTAATGGCCATTTTGGGCCAAAAAAGCCCAGTGAAATGAAATACTGTGATGGGCAGAAACACCAAACAAAATGGGTCTAAACCCAATCCTCTGATGGCAAAGTCTGGGGGTTTAGCGTCGTCCCCTTTCCCTTACCGCTCCTCTATTATATGGTTAGGGTTTAGTGTGTTTTCTTCAATGTTCTGGTTTGAACTTTGAAGGCTGCGACAAAGACAGTTAAACAAGAAGGATAAAAGGGAAGGAGAAAATGGATTCGTTTTCAACAGGTTCAAGCGGAACAGGATCTCCCCAATTTTCTACAGATGAATTCATGGATCAGATGAAGGTTCAACTTGCCCAGGCTTATGCCCAAGAATTCCTCGAGGTTACCCTCTCTTCCTCTTTCTTAATTCTGTTTCTTGGGGTTTCAATATCTCCATGTAATCAGTAAAATTTGTGAATTTCAAGCCTTTTTTCTACAATTTGAATTATATTTTTCTTTACCGGTCATAGTTCATGGGTCATTAACATCTGTTCCCTGTGTAGATAACTTTATGTTGTTGGATGATTTTAAAGGTAGCCATTTTAATGGAATAAGACGGCCGTGGGTTATTCTTGATTTAGATAGTTATGCAATGTTTAGATGGAATCAAAACCCAGAAAAGAAGCCACAATCCTCGGGTTTCTATAAGTAGCTTAAACCCATCGACTCATTTGACTTAGCATGTCTCAAAAAGTTCGTTCAGGAGGATTCTATAAATGTTAATGCTACAACATCTTTTCTATGCTGAGGTTACAATTTGGCAATCCTAATAAAATATAATCCATGCCATGGTTCTTGTTCTTCAGCATTATGTTCTTCTACAAAAGCATACTTGTAGAAGTTTGTTGGCCTAATTAGTCACTGTTTAAGAATGATTTGAAGAAAAATTGTTACTAATTCATAGCTTATTTTGTATGTTTACTTATATGTGTAGATATTTTTGTCTGATTAAAGTTCTTTAGTTTCTTCGAATTATTGTAATGCAACCAGTTGTCGGATATCGTACCTCCTGTTACTATTAATTGTCCACTTCATGAGACTGAGAGTGTAGTATCTGATATTTGGTTTCGACATCAGATGATTTTCTTCATGCTTTCTACGGCAGTATTTGGGGGTAAATGCAAAAAATTCTGTACTTAATGTCTTTTTTTTATTTGTCATACAGACGGTAAGGGGGAAGTGCTTTGAAAAGTGCATAACAAAGCCAGGCTCGAGTCTGAGTGGAAGTGAAAGTAGTTGCATCTCTAGATGTGTGGATCGCTACATTGAGGCCACCGGTATTGTTGGCAGGGTTCTTTTCTCTTCCCGTTGAAATTCTTAAACCGAGATATTGGTTTTGAAGAATGTGTTAGCTGCTAAAGTTTGGACAAGATCCTTTGTGAAATTTGCACTTTGTTTTGGTACCATGTTTCCTAAATTTAACTTGAGAAATTGTAACTTTGCATAAATTTCTGAATTTGTACTTGTTAATCTTGCAAACCAGATACCTCTGAGATTTTACATGGTTAATACTCTTTTGTTACTATATGATCCTTGAGTTGTTCATTTTTCTTGTCGTCTCTTGCTTTCGCTCTCGCTCGTGGATAGCAATATAGAGACAGACTCATATGATCAAGAACTGTCAATGATAAACAAATGTTGTGTCATATTGATTCTCTATTTTTACTTTTGATGGTGAGAGAGTGATTGTTTACATTTCATATCATTTTTCAAAAGTTGATTAAGGTTGATTGTGTTGTTTTTAAAGTTAGTACATAATAAACATATGATATTTATCTTATTTTCATTTAAGTATTCATAACTTTACCCTTGCCTTTGACTATTGTGCATGAATCATCTCCAAAAAATCATAATAGTTCTTTTTACCACACGTGAGATTATTGGCACAATTGTAAACATATTTTTTTTGAAATCTCTATTTCTTTTATGGGAGAGAAATACATGAGAATTTTTAATTTTTGTTATCCAACGATTGTTACATCTTTCTTCCCACTTAGGAGTTGATCTTTACTCGCAAGTGAAATGATCATACTTATTGTAATTATAACATTGTAAATAAGATTAATGTTCTTGTTGATTTTTACCTTTGCTTTAATCTCTAAATCCTTGTCTACAACTTGATGTTTGGTAATTTTTACTTATTTGATCGATGTCATATAATCGATCATCACAAAATTAAATGTTAAAGATTGCAAGCTAATTAAATGTTGACAAAATTAAATTGAACTCATATTTGGATTGAATGAACATAAGTAGAACAAATTCCTATCACTAAGGAAAATATTAATTATATTTGCATAAGATTGTAAAACATCTGTTTTGACAGGTGATGGAATTCTTACATCAGTTCGTTCATTTCTCCAAGTTAGGCTCCCAACTAAATACTATGTGTTCACCTGGTGTGCTGCAGAGATTGTAACACTGAAGGAGGTCTTCTTGGTTCTAGAATTGATGGCTAAGATGTGAGTCCTTACTATTACAGTTAAGACAACTGGAGGCTCAATTACGGCTCTATAGATAGATTTAGGGGAACCCACATTTGTTACTATTATAGTAAGAGTTACTGGATTTCTTGTATTGCCCCGATTTCCGCAAAGTGCTAGCGGATGAGGGAGTAGGACCAGTTAACATAAGAGATAATTGTTTACTACACTAGTAGCTAGTGTTGAAGGATCCTTAAGAGTGCCATCTTATCCTACCTGTTCTTGCTGTAGTATGAGGCACCTAGGAGTTTATCGGTTTGGGGCTTAGGGTTGTTACCGATGTGGGTATTTAGATCATTTTCTCAGAGATTGCTCAGAGGCTCAGAGTGTAGTTCCAGATTCGACCCAACAGTCAGCTCCGACAGTTCAGAGGGGCAGAGGATTTTAGAGAGAATGTAGTATATCTGGTCAGGCTGGTAGGGATGCAGTTCAGTCCAAAGTTAGCGGGGATGCAGTAACCGTCATAGTTGACTTAGTGTCCAGACTTTAGATTTAGTTGTCTTAGTAATTGAAATTAATAGTAGAATTATGTCAAAATTTCAGGGATGAAATTTCCTATTAGGAGGGGAGATTTGTAATGCACCAATTTCCAGGTCAGTAGTTTTGATCAACCTGAAACTCGTTAATAGAGCCTATTAGATTTTTCAAGCTAAACTAGACCAATTCTTATGGGTATTGGGCTTAGGTTGACCCAATAGGCTAAGGATAATAGTGTTCTTAAAGGTGAATTAAAGAAAGAATGACTAGAAGTGTAGTTTACCTATTGTTGTTTCAAGGGATATAAACCCATTATTCTCTAGAGAATTCCACGAAAATAATTAGCCTAAAAATATATCCTCTTCTCTTCTTCCTTTCCTCTCCCACGGTTAAAAAAAAGAGGTGAGAGCCCTTGAGATTTCAAGCCTAGATTGAAGAAACCAAGGTAAGAAACCTATTCTTCATATCTTAAGCTTTCATTAGAGGCTTTAATATTAAGACTTGGTTTAGATTTTCAAAAATGATTTTTTATGGGTTTTAAGAAATCAAGTGATTCAAGATATTTTAAGAAAGGATTTGAGTTATAGGGAATGTATTTAAGTTTTATTCAGCCTCTAGTTGAGTAAATAACTAATTTCAAATACCTTGTTAGTGAAAGAGGTTGAAGAGAGTTCAAAAGCCAAGGGTAAAAGAAATGTGGATTCCTAGTTGTTTGAGAGAGGTTTTAGCATCCAAAGAATCCAAGTAACACACTATTAGTTTTTCCATACCAGTTTTAAAATCAATTGAAAGAGATTAGCTTAAAGGTTAGTTTAAGCATGCTTAGTAGATTTTCATGGTATATTGCATGTTGTATGTTTTAGTATGTATTAAAGCCTTATTTATGCTCCTTTATAATCACATAAGACTTAATAATAAATTGAAAACCTCAAGGTAGGAGTTTGGGTGACTTAGGAAAGTTTTTTTAGAGTGTTTTAGAGAGTTTTCTTGGGTGAAAAAATGAATTATGCAATACAGGTTTCGAAACCCCTAGGTTGGTTTCGAAACCCTTTGTCCAGAATGACATAATGCATAAAGGTTTCGAAACTCTCTTAGAGGTTTCAAAACCCTTTCCCCAAATTGTCAAAATTTGTCTAAAACGTTATCTTGAAGGTCCTAGACCCATAGTATGACCATAAGTAGGTTCGAATATGCGTAAAACACTAGAATAATTGTTATAGATGGTGTTTAATGTTGGGATGCAATGAATAAAGTGGATGTGGGGTTATTGATACCTTGGGTAGGGTATCGATACTGATGAGAGGGTATCGATACTAAGGGAAATAAATGGTCTTTAGTCCAGGAGGAGTATAGAAGCAAGTGAGGTTTCCCAAAAGCTTATTATACTCTCAAATAAGACTACAAGTGGAACAATATTAATGTTTAAATCAAACATAGAAACCAAATAATTAGGGACAAATAAGACTAGCCTTGTTTGATGCTCGGGAAATGATTCGGACACCCTAGTTCCTTTAGAAAAGCTATTGGAGTCAAAAGTATAGATGCAGTCTAGATATATCCTTAGGTAGGGTGCAAGGCCCATAAAACCGACTAACTCTGGTCGAGGCCTGACACTCTCAAGAGGTGGGTTAGTCAGGGATATGGTGTCTGATACAAAATTTCGGGGGCTATATCCCAGTAGACTAGAAAGGTGCGTGAGCTATGAGATGAGGTAATCCCTCAGCCATACCATGATGTCTAAGTAGCGTAGAGAGTGAATATCACAAGGATATTCACTATGCAGATCAGATTAGTAGACATGATATCTAGCATTTCAGTGATATGCAGTTAGTATGTTTTAGTTATTAGTGTGTCGCTGAGCTAGTTAGCTCAGCCTTCGGATTGTTTCCGTGGACAGATTTGTAGATCCAACAGGTGAGGAGTAGTAGCTAAACCAAAACCCAATTTAAATCAGTACAAATATATAATATGTCTCAACAATTTTGAAATGACATGTATATTTGTAAACTTAATGTCCAGTTGAGTCGTAGTTTTAGCAGATCAGTCTATATTATTTTTGTAAAGTGTAAATATTTTTATTTGGAGCTCATCAATGTAAAGATTTTATTTATTCTTTAGTTTATTATACATTTGTTTTATATTTAAAGAAAATAGTAAAAAGTTGGACATCCATTTCGATGGTTCTGTGTAGCACCTTAAATTGGTCGACTGTGTATTGTACTGGTCTAGGGTGTTACATTTCTTAGACATGAAATGGTTATGGATGGTACATTCTCATCTAAAATGGATGGTTTTTCATCCAGGCACGCTGTAGATCGCCTTGTAAGTCAATTGATGGAGGAGTTATTATAGCCCATGGCATAAAGGTAATGTATGTAGTCTAATAAACTCATACCATATATTAGGACGGGATTAGCTGTTGTATCGGGGTTTATAATACCACCTCAGAAATTGAATGGATTAACCAGTTTTTAAGGAGATCCCTCAACAAAGAATGGGAGACATAATGCATCATTCGTCCTTGCTGCAATGGGTTAACAAATAATGATCATGAGTTAATCACTTACATTTTGAAGAAACATAAATGAAAAGATTTGGTAATGGAAAATACCAGTTATGACTAATGCATATTTAATATTTGTAGAAGACCAATTACGATAAATTGCTTTAAGAAGTGCGACAATGCCTGAAACATTAGGAGTGGCCATGAACGTTCCCGAGTGTATGACATATCCACTGTCTATCCACCGATCCATATGAGAAGTTGCAACTAGTATGTTCACTCCATATGCAGTTATGTTTGGCTATGTCCAAAGAAAATTTAGCAAGATTGTCTCAAAATACTTCATTCGACTTTTAAACATGTCATAAGCTTAAGACATCACTGATGAATGCTTAAAATTTAGCTAAACTTTTTGAAACCCATTTTGTATAGAATTTTGAAAACTCTCAAGTTGTATACATAATAGTAAAATCAATCTACCTTAAGAATTTCTGGTGCAATGGAGCTAGGCCCCATTCATGAGAAAAAAAGCCACCTTAGGTGACAGAGGCTTGCCTACAAATGTTCTTGAATGGCTCAATTTCACTGCAGGGGGTATGTTTTGATAAATTTTGAGAATCAAAGAGGATATCAATGAAATCTAGTAAGTACTTATTATGAATAGGAAAATGATGGTACTTGGCGGATCTGATGTAATAGAGTATTCGTGTGTCGATTTCGTAGTCAATTTCAATGCATGGAAAGCCATCACTACATTTAATCAAGGTATCAGTTGGATTTTTCACAACAATCAGCTCAATACCTCATGTTTCTTATATAGTTGTTGCAACAAGTCTTATAGCAACTCTTCCAGTAACTGAGGCAAAGCAAAGCACCACTTTTTAGGCTACCAACGTTGAATTAAGTAAAAGTGATTGGCATGTACTACAGGGTAGTAGTTAACCAACTAAAATATGTTCTTTATTTGTAATATTCCAAAGTTAAAACTCAATAGACTTAGAAAATAACTACCCTACAGAAGTAAGGTCAAGTCTCGTGCCATTTGGGTGTGTCAAGCCGGTAAACCCGTTCTCTTTTCCCTCATTTAAAAAAT